TCTGACATTAAATATTTTAGATATTATAGTCCCTGGATTCTCAGACTTTCCTATGCTATCTAGTAAACAGGACCATCTGACCATTTATGGTCTTCAATGCTTTTCACCTTCCTCTTAGTTGCATCAGGATCTAATAATTTAGTTGTTAAGCAGAACATAGGAACCAAGGTTCCTTGTATTTCAGTATTTTGAAATAAAAGAATAACATAATGCCTAAGGTCTTAACGGTCAATGGTAGGAGATAAACACAATAAGAAAAAAGGTGGCAAGTGACATGCAAATGTTATCCCCTCTCTTATTTCTATCCCCACCCCTTAATATATAATTTGAGTACTTAGTGTTATGTTGGGGCAGAGCAAAAAATTACAAGTAGACTGTATAATGATGGAGGAAGGGGTATCTTGGCTATGGGTATGTCTTGGAAGGGGTATGTCTTGGTCAAATATAGCAAACCCTTGAAATAAGTTTAAGGCTATACACAAAGCTAACTCCCTGATAGAGCTAAAATTTCCCAAGTTAGCACAACATACACTAGTCTATCTCCTTTCAACTTAAGTTGGTTGCCCCAACGCAACTTCCAAAGTATCCCTTTTATGGAATGATGCCTTAGGAACTGGCATTCATAGTGTTTTGAGTTAAAATGATGGTCTATGAATCACTAAGTAGCACCAATGCTATGCAGTATTCATATACAGAAACTAGAACCATTTCTAGCACTACCCTTTTCTTGAAAAAAATATTCTTCCACAAATTACATAAATGGCAGATTTCCTTACTTCCTTCAAGCTCCCCCCCTCCCCTTCACACCCAAATGCTGCCTGTTCAAATGAGACTTCTCTAATAACCCTGTTTAATTCTATACCCTGAGCTGACCCCCATCACAGCATCCCAGAAGCCTCAATCTTTCCCTGGCTCAATTATCTTAATTTTTCCACAGCTCATACAAACATAGTTTATTTAATGTATTATATTTACTTGGTGTATCTTTACTAAAATTTAAGTCCCATGATGAAGAGGGAACTATATTTTATTCTTTGATGTATCCCAAACACTTACAACAGTGTTTGCCACATAGAAAGAGCTCATTGTGTATTTACTGAATGAATGAACATGTGTCCTACAGCAAAGATGGTAGAAGGATAAAAGCCAAACCACATTCTAAGAGAGTTTTAAGAAACACTATGGAAAGGCATAGGAATGTACATTTACCTGCTAGAGAGAAATTTGGTGAATGAAATGGCTTGATGCATATGAATTGGTCATGAATTCTGGTAAAGGAAAAATAGGCATTTTTGATACCTAATAGATTTTTGCTCCCATTTCCCTTGTTTACAATGAATTTTAATCACCAATGTCAAAATAGAAACAAGTTTGTAGACAGCTTTTATTCTTTCCTGTGGTAGAGGCCACAGCTCAGATTGCAGACAAATAAGAATGTCAGCCAGTGTTAACTGTGTTGCTCTTATGTATGCCTTGTCCTTTCTACCACCAAGTGGAATCTTTCATTAGCACAACATTCTCCCTAGAAACATTGATTAGTATTCAGGGAATTTTCAAAGATTCACTTTTCCTGCAAATTCACTATTTGAAAAGGTTTTAAAAAAATGTCAAACTCACCCTGGCCAGGTAGCTCAGTTGGTGAGTGTCATCCTGATACACCAGGGATATGGGTTCATTCCCCGTTCAGGGATTGTACAAGAGTCAACAAATGAATGAATAATCAAGTGGAACAACAAATCCATATTTCTCTAAATAAATAAATAATTCTCTTCTAAAAATTTAAAATAAATAAAAAATGCCAAGTTCAGTAACATCATCAAGTAACAGAACGAGGGAGCCAGGTTCATCACCAATATAATATTTCAGCCTCTATTTTCAGATGTCGAGGTACAATGAAATGAAGATCAATAGAGAAATTCATATTGGGTACATATTGAATAATTGCCATTCCCATTTGGGGGGATAAATGATACATATGAATATATGTTTATGTATATATACACCCATAACTTGGTATGCCTTCACTGTGAATATCATGAAATTGTCCTTTAATGGAAAGAACACTAACTTCAGAGCCACATGGTCCTCAACTTGAATCTGAACAATACCAATGTAAGTTGGGGTACAACCCCAGCAGGTCCAGGGGTCCCCAAAGGTGTGGACGGAGTCAGCGAAGAAGGAATGACACGGAGACAGCGTTCAGTTGATCAGCAGCCTACCCAGGATCTCTAGCCAGGATCTCCAGCCAAGTTCAGTCTAGGTTCTCCAGCCAGGTTCTGTCATTTATTGTCTTGTTACATCTGTATTTATACCAGTTGATTTTAATCCTGTCAATTTCTATTCCAAAGGTTAGGGTGTTTTGTATCTTCATTCCATGGAGTAAAGATTATGTAGCATAAAGGTGATTGTTCATAGTTAAAGTGATTAACTACCCACCTGGCACTTAGTTAAGGGGTTTTATTCCCTCCCTAACTTCAGGGAAAAATCCCTACCTGGGGAAACAACCTTGGAGAGGTGACCTTGGTTAAAACACATAGTGCCAAGAAGGTAAACCAACATATTAAGAACAGTATGGCATATACGCCAGGTCCCTTGAAACATATGCTGTGCAAATGTTTCTTCCCTGCAGCGACTGTGTCAAGCAGCAAGGATGGACCAGCTTCCGCCAAATTCCCCTTTTTATTTTTATTTATTTATTTTTTCAGTTGATCTTTTTTTTTTTAGGTGAGTCAGTGCCCACTGATTTTGCTATTATGATTAAGTCCTTTGAAAAAAGAGAATGTTCCTATTGTACCACTTTGCTACATACAAGCTACTTAGAAATTATGAAAAGCGAAATAACTGAAACCTAGAGGTTGTTACCTTCAAAGTACTTGGGGGGGAAGGGGAGAAAAGCCCTTGTCCCAAGCTTATAAATCATTTTAAAGAATCCTCATTCGGTTGATGTCTTACACATTATACAACCGTTAAAAAACAGACCCAATAAAGCATTTGTAAAGAAAACCCCATTGCATGGAATATATTTTACCAGTTATCCTATTGTATCGTTACTGAAATGTTTCTATAACAAACTGTTTTGAGATCTTAATGTTTTGTAGTTTAAAGTGTTAAGTCAGGAATGTACACGACACAGTACAATTGGAAGCTTTCTCTTTTATTCATCGATACAATGAGGGAATTCCCCAATTTCATGTCTAAAAAGAAATTGTAAAATTCAAAATAACTACCAATTTAGGAATCAAATTCCACAGTATCAGATAAGAGTATTAAAATCTCAAGATGTACTGCAAAATTGGCAGGTTATGGTTTTGGCCCATTAGAGTAAATATGAACTTACAAACTGTGTTTCTAAAATTACCTTATTCTCATTGGAAAAATCGGTTGTTCTTAAATAGGCCCATTGCCAGCAACAGGCTTATGCTAGAAAAAACCACACCATCTACCACAGAAGATCATCCCTTTAAAAAGTTAACTGTCAAAGGCCAGCGTGTTCCTCTTAAGAAACATTAAACAATAAATTATTTCAAATCCCGAAAGGTAGTCATCTTAAAAGTAGTCATCTATAAAAGTCACTGAAGTAGTCAGAATACCTTGTTGCTAGAAAAATAGAATTATACATGATAACTGATATTAATATTCACCCTTTTGAGGACAAAAATCTAGTTTCTTCACAAAGCATAATCCCTCTCTATCAAGAAAAATACCACTTAAATACCCTTAAATAACATTTGTGTATAGCAACAAAATAATGAAGAACAATTTCCTCTGTAGATATTGCAACCTCTCGCAAAATAAGCCACTATTGGAAGATCTGAGCATTATCAAGACAGGATAACTTACAGAATCTTAATGATTAATTTTGCCTTAACTCATATTGCTTTTTAAGAATTTAATATCCAAACTGCATTAACCTTCAGATTTCTTTGTTCTCCCAAGTTAGTGGCTCTTGGCCAAACACAAGCATTGCTGGTGGTGTTTGAAAAGCTGCATTTGAATCCATTCATGATTGGTCACTATGAAATGACTTCAACTCTGGAAAGTCTTTTTTTTTTTTTTTTTTAAGATTCTATTAGTAAGCTTGCATTTAACATCTAATTATTAGATTGAGTTTAATGTCCTTAAAAAAATTTACTGAATATATGTGCTTCTGATGCCAATCTTTCAAAGCAAGCAATGCTGATGAACACGTCCATGTTTTAGACTAACTTTGGTAAGAAAAAACACGTTCAGATTCTCAGGATTTAGAATGTAGTCTCAATATTAATTTACAATAATCTAAATATTTAATTTGGTAAACTTTTTTCCCTGCTCTTACTCCCCATATGTCCTACTATGTGTAAATTATAAGTTTGTTAATTATAGCTCACGGTTTATTAGAGCAATACTCAGCAATATAGAACACAGGATAATAACTAACTTTTAGTATGATAAATACCCCATGGGAAGAAAAACAACTTTTCCTAATAATATCCATCAGTCACTCTTAAAATATGCTGCCACTGTGCTATATAATGATCTTAAAGAGCAAGTAAATAAACATTACTTAAAGTATCAAAGGAAAGAAAGTTGTTGGTGATATCTTAAGTTCTAGCAATGATAATTTTAATAAATAAATGTAACACTGAGGGAAAAGAAAAGCAGAGAAATTCCAGTAACAATTTTAATTTATTTATCCCCCTAATTAATTTTAACCATGGCAAAACTGGAAATCAAATGTCATCATGTTATATAAGGTTTATACTTACTTTAAACAAAATGTAACATAGTGTTAAAACTGGCTTTTCAAAATTGTTAACAGCATAGCGGTACTCTGCACTGAGAATCACAAATTGTAATATGGAAGTCTGCTAAACAGTCCCATTATGTTCTTACAAAAATAGAATTAAACTGTGTGACCAGACAAAGACTTCAATTACACTACTTAGCAAACTTAGAATTTCAGGAGTCTTTTCCCTCCTACAGTTTAAAGCAAAAGTCAAATATCACATCTTTTTCAAGACTCACAAAGATGATTCAGGTTGTTTGTTTGCATCTTTTTAATGTCTAGCACAACAGCAGGCATGTCTTCAGCTTGAGTCCTGGGCTTCTCTAGATTTTCACAAAGTTCTAAACAGGAAATGCTAACTGTTGGGGCCTTTTCTGTATCCTTTTCCGAATAGGCTTGTGGCCGAGTCCCACAACATTGCTTCAAAGCACACTGAGTTCTGTAGGCAAGTTCACATGGGACTCCACTTGATTTAGAGCCTACACTAGCAAATTCAGGCTGAATGGTAGTTGCGTGAACTCCGTGATTATGAAAAATGTCTTTAATGGTTTTAGCCACCTGCATGTATGATGTTGGATCTTCACATTTTATGTGAGCAGTGGCAATGATTCTGCTTCTAGCAAGTTGCCAAACATGTAATTCATGAACTTCCTCAACTCCTTCAACATTTCGAAGTTCTTTTATCAAATTTCTGATATCAATTTGTTTAGGAACAGTTTGTAGAAGAATAAGAGCAGATTCCTTAAGTAATGGATAAGTTGTGTAAAGAAGTATACAAACCATTACAATACAAAGCGTTGGATCTAAATATAGCACCCAGCAAGGACCGGCCTCAAAAACTGTTCCTTGAGTACTATTGATTATTTCTACAAGCGTTTTGCAGGGGTCAGCGATACACGGGTTTTCATAGAACTTCCCTTCAGGACAACTATCCCAATAAAAGTAAAAGACCAAGGCATTCACAGCTACAATCACTGAACCCAAAGCATCTCCAAAGACATGCAGAAAAACTCCACGCATGTTAAGTTGTCCAGCCTTTTGAGCATCATCTGCTTCATCTTCCAAATCCATATTATCAGCTTCTCTGATAACATTCCTATTCATTTGTACATCTGCTGCATCAGTTCTGGACTTTTCCGGATCTGCCCCGCCCAGTTTGAGCCCATTGGAGTTGCTGCTACCGGCCACCAAGGTGTTGGTCACCTCCTGGTCGGGTCTCTGGCCGCCCGGGCTCCTGTGGTCGCTGTCCCCGGGGCGGCTGCTCTGGCCACAGACCCCCTTGGTGTGGCCGTGAACCCCGTGCGGGTGGCCGTGGCCGGAGTTGTTGCCGAAGCCGCTGTGATGGTGGAAGAGGCAAAGCCCCAGCACGCTGACCACCAGCCCCGCCACGCCGACCACGAGGACCATCAGCGGCTGCTGCATCTCGTGAGGCTCGATGAAGCGCTCGATGGCCTCCAGCAGGATGGCGAAGCAGAGGCCGGTCAGGAAGATGGCGTTCACCAGAGCCCCCATCATCTCGGCCCAGATCCAGCCAAACGTGTTCTGGGTGGCGTGGGTCCGCCGGGCGAAGCGCTCGGCCACCAGTGCCACCACGAGCGACAGCACGTCCGACAGCATGTGGAAGGAGTCGGAGAGTATCACCAGCGACGCGGTCACCTGGCTCACCATCATCTCCAGCACCATGAACATGAAGGTCAACAACAGCATGCACAGGCCCCGGTTCCGGCTCCAGCAACCCGTGGCTGTGGCTCGGGAGCCCGCTGAGCGCGGCACGGACTCTTGGGAGGCGGTGGCTGGGAGGCGCCGAGGGTCGGTCTAGGACCTGGTGATGGGAGGAGGACGGCACGGGACTCTCTTGGTCCGAGCCGGGCCACTAGGGACACCGCTCAGTAGCCTCCGGGGTTGGAAGGGGGTGAGCTGCTGGTTAAGCCGCCGAGCCCCCACGCCTGTGGGCGTCCCAGCGGGCCGGCAGCCTGCAGCTCCGCAGGCATCTGTTCTTGAAGCCGAGGAGGAGGCCCGGCTCAGCCCCAGCAGCCCCACGCCTGCGGGGGTTCCGGGAGCCGGGGACTGTGAGCCTGACCCGAAGCAAGAGCTGGTGAGAGGCAGGGGCAGGCGATAGGTAGGTCCTCACTGCGAAGGCTTTCCACGCTGGTTGCCTCCTCTGTGGCTCAGGTCAGGAGCCGATGCCAGGGAGGCTAAAAAAGCAGCGGCCACAGCAGCTGGTGTCGGGCTCCTGCTTCTGTTCGGGCACCAGATGTTGGGGTCCAACCCCAGCAGGTCCAGGGGTCCCCAAAGGTGTGGACAGAGTTGGCGAAGAAGGAATGACACGGAGACAGCATTCAGTTGATCAGCTGCCTACCCAGGATCTCTAGCCAGGATCTCCAGCCAAGTTCAGTCTAGGTTCTCCAGCCAGGTTCTGTCATTTATTGTCTTGTTACATCTGTATTTATACCAGTTGATTTTAATCCTGTCAATTTCTATTCCAAAGGTTAGGGCGTTTCTTATCTCCATTCCATGGAGTAAAGATTATGTAGCGTAAGGGTGATTGTTCATAGTTAAAGTGATTAACTTTAAGGGGTTTTATTCCCTCTCTAACTTCAAGAAAAAAATCCCCACCTGGGGAAACAACCTGGGAGAGGTGACCTTGGTTAAAACACATAGTGCCAAGAAGGAGAGCAAACATATTAAGAACAGTATGCCATATACGCCAGGTCCCTTGAAACATATGCTGTGCAGGTGTTTCTTCCCTGCAGCGACTGTGTCAAGCAGCAAGGATGGACCGGCTTTCGGCAAATGTATATTCCTTTTACTCTCAAAGTTTGCCTTTGGATGATAAACTGTGTTATTCTAAAAGATCTTTACAGAATCTCAACTTTGTAAGTCTCAATAAGTGCAGTGACTATTTAACAAATGTAGATGAAAGTCAACTTTCTTTGCAACCTCAGGAAGGCACCACTCTGACTTCCAAGAGAATTGTAATAGTTATCAACAAAGAAGGAAAAGTGGAGTAATGTCTATAAATCAAAATAATATTTAAAATATCTGGAAGACATCATTCCTTCCATGAAAAGAATGAAGAAAAAAGTCATTAATATCAAGGTCAACACTAAAACCAGATTCAATTTCTGGAAGTTCACCATTGAGAACATTTCTGAATTTTGCCTCCATAGGGGGAAAAAAGATTTCCAAATTACCCACAATTAATTACCACAGTATGGCTTATATGGAAAGAGAGATTCTCCTTCTGAAGGAAATCAGAATACCACAAAATAGCAATAATAAAGGTAACTGTTCTCACTGGGATTAACATTTTACATATCTGGTATGTAGCTTTTTAACCTTCAACATAGGTAGCATAATTAGACATAAATATATATATATTGATTTCAGAGAGAGGAAGGGAAAGGGAGAGAGAAACATCACTGATGAGCGAATCATCAATCAGCTGCCTGCTGCACACCTGCTACTGGATGGGAATCAAGCCCACAGCCCAGGCATTCGCCATAATAGGAATTGAACCGTGACCTCCTGGTTCATGGATTGAAGCTCAATCAATGAGCAACACCAGCTGGGCTAAAGACTTAAATATCTTAGAGAAATTGTACAGTTTGTCCAAGGGCACGCAGTTAATAATGGTGATGCCATTTTAATCCAGGTCTATCCAACTTTAAGGACAGAGATCCCACATTTTATGCTGTTTCCAATACCATGCTTTGCCCCAAAATTAGTGATTTGAAAGATAGGACATGTACTCAACAAAACGAGGGAAAATTCTGTGAGATAATATCTTAATCTGTAAAGAATCATAAAATGAACCTACTGTCTGCTTTTGAGGTAAAAATAATCAGAATCTAAGGGGTCATAAGGACAGAAAAAAAGGCCTCTCCTTTTCTTTGCTGTGGCCTTTCCACAACTTATAAGAAGCACCTGGTAATTAAGTCCCAAGATTGTTGGCTCCTCTGCAAACTGTAGAACAAATTAAGACTACTCTCAAGGTTGCATTCTGTACCCCCCTCCACCCTGCTGTTTTAACAACTCCAAGATAATATGCACCAAAGACTCTCCAGTAAATACAAAGTTCCCTTCTCCCTCCCCTTCAGACAAGCCTCTTTTGAACTCCTCATAACAATTTCTCTAAGCATATTTTACAGGCTTGAAAGGAAGTTGATAAAGAGACCACCCTGGGACATTTGCAGGACTGTCTCCTGGAAAGCAAACTGAAACTTTTCAATACAACCCCGCCCCCCAATCTGATTAACTTCAACACAACTCCCCTCCCTTCCTTATCACCTAGCAACAGCAACTGGATGCTCTTTAAAAGTACAAGCCTGCCCTGTATTGAGTAGCAATACACCAGCCCTTTCCTCCTTGAAAAGTAAAATAAATTTCCTCTCTGCATCTGTTCTCTCAGTTGTTAATCCTTTCATCGCCATATCATTGCCCCAACCCTAACAGTCATCATAGTAAAAACATGAGCAATCAGTATGTAAAGAGTATGCTAAATCTACACTGATATCAAAGGAGAGGCATAGGAGGTGAGTAGCTAAGAATGTGACAAGAGAAACTGCCCCCCCCCATTTACCCTCACCACCCAATAAGCACATCATTTCAGGTTTAAGAAATAGCCAAGTCCATCAAAACACCTATTGAGTTTGTAACCCACTACCCTTCCCATATCGACATGTGATTTATTTCTACAAGAAGCTATTTGTTTTGCCTCATTTCATTTTTGCTGGGAAAATGATTCTCAAATCTTAGAAACTATAGGACAGGTCTATCTCAAATACCTGCAGATTTAGCAGATATACTTCAGGGCAGCTGTCTAATAGGAGTTACCATAAATCCATCCCAAACCCACTCTGAACAACCAGCCATGAATGATTTCCGTGATTATCAGACCGGGCCCATCATGAGCCAACCACACAAAGAAAAATACACTGGAGGTCTTGCCTAAGGCCTATGTAGCCAGAAAAAAAATAACCAATATCAAGATGTTAAAATATAGCTACTAATAGGTGGTAACCTTATGTCCAACATCCTCTGGCTCCTGGGGGATGTAATAGAATACCACAGGATGGCAATTAGGTCTGGAGGCAGAACTGAATTAAAAAAAAGGGGTACTCCCACTCATTAATTTTATAACCTCAAGGATTATTTAATCTCTCTGAGCAGTCATGTCCTCACTTGCAAAATGAAGATACTATGAATGGTTTCTTAGGTTGTTAAAAGTGTTAGGCATCACATGTCAGGTAATGATAACTAACAGTCATTGAGCATTTATTATGTGCCAGGTGATGAATGAAATACTGCTAGTAGAGATATAAACTAGACACTAGAATTTAGTCAGTTGCTGAAATTCATATAATTAGAAAGTCGCAGAAATAGGATTGGAACCTAGAAAATCGGTACCAAAGCCCATGCTCTTAACCTACTGTGCTACACTAGCATGGAACTCTGCATTGAGTAAAGACTCAACACATATGAGTCATGGATACTGTTGTTATTGTAACATCCCTAAATCACATAACATGAGGTTTTATTGAAACCTGAATACTCACACCACAGGACACACAGTACCTGGGACACGGCTGCAAACTTTCTCCTTCGACAATGCAGGCCTGTTTCTCCAGAAGTTCAGGGCACTCCCTTCCACCTCCGATAGCAATGTGCTTCACATTCCGGCTCCTGCTCCTGAATCCCGGCGAGAGGCTCTCTGAACGACACGTCTTGGAGCAGGGACCCCAGGAGGACCACTCGGTGGTCTCACAGTCTTTCGGCATGATGCAGGACTGGACAGTCAAAGGGAAGGAGTCTTTCATGCAAAGGCTAAAGGGACATAAGCAGAAACCAGTCAGCCACCGATTAAACCGATGCAACCAACACTATGAAGTGCCTATAATTAAAGAAAAAAAAAATTAAATGTGGTTTATGTGTTCAAATTTGAGGATTTAAATAATGTTAGAGGCACCATGATAAAAAATGGAAGGATGGGCATTTAAAAAATGCACGCTCTCTTTCATTTGAAACTGAACTTATTTCGATCTAGCAAAACGCATATGTAGATGAGTATGTCTTATATTTATAATGCAGGATCGTCTAAGTGTTTCACTTAGGAGATAGCCTACCATTACCATTTATTGACTGGTCCCCAGGTGGCACACACTGCTGCACTTCACAGGCACTTCCACAACCTCATGAGCTCACATATTTTTTAATATATTTGTATTGATTTCAGAGAGGAAGGAAGAGAGAGAGAGAGATAGAAACATCAATGATGAGAATCATTGATCGGCTGTCTCCTGCACGCCCCCTACTGGGAATCGAGCCTGCAACCTAGGCATGTGCCCTTGACCCGAATTGAACCTGGGACCCTTCAGACCACAGGTTAATGCTCTATCCACTGAGCCAAACGAGCTAGGGCGTTGAGCTCACATATTATCATGGCTATCTATAGATGAAAAATCCTTGGCTTAGAAAAGCTAAAACATGGTCTAAGGTCAAACAAAGGTAAATGTAAGCTTTAGAGTATTCAGCTATCCATTCTCTTAAATACTAGGTTATATAAAACACACACACACACACACACACACACACACACACACACACACACACACAGAACAAATATGATGTTTCCTTACACTTTTAGGCTCTGAGCAGCAATTTCCTCATCTATAAAATTTGAGTGCTATCAAATACTAGCAATCTAATTGAGAAACAGGTAAAGAAATAAAATAATGTGATGAATTCAATGTAAAAGCATTTATAATTAGTGATGAGGACAAACAATAATGAGGCAATGTTGGGCCACCTGGAAAGGCGGTGGTGGAGGTGGAGGGGGGGTTCTAAGAGAGGACATCTGAGCTTTTTTTTTAAGATTAGTAGGAATTTCTCAGGCACAGAAAGAAGACTAAGTTAGGAAAAGTGAATATTAAAGACTTGATATAACACTTTGTGGGGATGAAAACCAGTGGTATGCCAGAGCTGGAAATACTGTTTTATAAAAACCAACTGTTACATTTTCAAGAATTTTTCAAGCCAGTTGACTTCATGTAAGTCACTTAAAATGGGTCACAGTGGGAGTATTTATACTACAAATATCAGCAAATGCTACAGATCAAGCCCCTGACACCTGAAGACTGGTACTTAAACATTTACAGGCATACCACTGGAGGAAAGTAAAAGCCAACTTGTCAATTGTCATAAATTTTTCAAATTATGAAGCATCAAGTACAAAGAGGAAAGTAAATAGATAATAGGTATGTGGGTTCTTCAAAAGTATGTCTTAAAAGGCTTCTTATCAAGAGCTAAGAAATTTGTATTTAATTGAACATTAAATAATTTTAAATGAAGGAAAACAGACTCACATTTCAAATATTGATTGGCATACATTCCTTTTACTTTCTTGGTGTTAACCTTTCCTATATTCAATCAAAGGTATCCTTTACTTCTGGGGGAGATGGGGAAGGATAATTTTGATAGGAATACAAAATCAAAGAAAGGGCTTATGGTATCTTATGGAATAACTAGAGGCCCGGTGCATGAGATTCATGCACTTGGGGGAGCGGGGAAGTGGGAGTCCCTCAGCATGGCAGTTGGACATCCTTAGCACTGCCGCAGAGGCAGGAGAGGCTCCTGACACCTAAACTGCACTCCACTGCACTTGCCAGCCATGAGCCCGGCTTCTGGCTGAGCAGTGCTCCCACTGTGGGGGCACACTGACCATCAAGGGGCAGCTCCTCTGTTCAGCGTCTACTTCCTGGTGGTCAGTGTGTGGCATAGTGACCAGTTGTTCTGCCATTCGGTCAATTTGCATATTAGCCTTTTATTATATAGGATGAGCTATAGACAGAGTTTGGTAATGTATCCAAAAAAAGGAAAGAAGTATTAAAATGATTCTAAGTTTCTGACTTGGGAAAATATGTAGATAAGGGACCCACCAACAGAAAAATGGATTACAGACGGTGATGTGAAAGGGGAAAATAACACATGTGACCATTTTGATGAACAAATCATAGTGAGACTTCTATACTGATATCCTACATGAAGCCAGGGGGAGTTAGTGTGTCTTCCAAAAGTCACAATAATATAAGAGAATCCTTTGGTCCAGTAGTATTTTGAAATCTATTCAGATCATATTATTTCCTTCCAAATGAAAAAGGCAATGTATACTTCATTGCCACCACTCTTTCCAATGGGATCTTCTGGGGGCTTGGAATCAAGGCACACTGGGAAGAACCTCCCTTGAAAATATCCCACTAATACAGAATGTACTCACTGCACAACATGCAGGTAGGGAGAGAGGGACACTTTTCAGAAATTGCTATTGACTGAGATGCCCCATCCCCAAGTCCTAACTCCAGTACCTCAGATGTGTCTGTACATGAAGATGAAGTCCTTAAAGAATGAATTAAGTTAAAATGAGGTCACTAGAGTGGGCCCTCATCTAATATGAGTGGTGTCCTTATTTGAAGACATGAGGACACAGAGAGGGAAGGCTATAGAGAGAAGGCAACCTTCTGCAAACCAAGCACAGAGGCCCAGAAGAAACCAACCCTGCTGGCACCTGATTTTGGACTTTCCAGCCTCATAAGTGTGAGAAAAGTAATGCCAACTGTTGAAGAACCTAGTCTGTGGTCATTTGTTCAGGCAGCACTAGCAAACTAATACAGAAATTTAAAGCTTTTCGATTTGTGTATGTTTTTAGAAAGAATTTCAATTTCCAAGGTGGATTTCTGCTTCCTTTTATTAAGAAGGTCTCACAGTATGCAGTTCTCTGTCTACAACTGAAGTGGTGGTTTGTTTCTTCCCATTTACCAACTTTCACTTTCTGTTGCTCATCTTCCCCGAAATGGCCCATGCCATTAGACAGTAGGATGAATAATAGGATTCCAACAGTACAAGCACCTCCATGGAGTGGCTGGGCTTATTCAAGTATTCTTGTGTTTTGGGAAAGGGCTCCTAATTATTGGAATTAGAAAGGGGATATGTTCTGTTGATTAGATATTTACTTGTTTTAGTGTTTGCTGTTTTTTTCACTAACCAGCCTCCTTAGTTAATAAGAAAAAAGTAATCATAAAAGGTATCACACAGGACCCTGGTGTAATTTGATCCATGAGATTTCATTTCACTAGATTATTGAATCAGAATTAAATTGTGAATCAGAAATATCTGGGTCCTGAATGTTGCATCACATTATCATGACCTTAGTTTCTTGACTGCTTGGTTTCATAACTGCAGGGAAAAACAGAATAATAAAACGTGATCTGCTCACACCCCAGAGTTGTGGTGACCCTTAGTGTAAGTAGAATCACCTTGTACTACACCAGGGTGGGGAACGTCCAGCCCACAGCTGTATGAGGCCCAAGAAATCATTTTTAGTCTGGCCCTGCCAAGGCATTAGGGGTGAGTTAATTAAATGTTTGACCAAATACAGCAGGCTAATTTTTAAGTTGATAATTTAGAATGGTCTGCAAATGATGTGACCCTTTCAGAGAAGGTGGTGGACCTTTTTAATAAAACAAACATATTCTGTTGATTTATCTTTTCAAGAGATACTACAGTAATTGTACCTACTTGACATTTACAGAGTTCGTTGTCATTTATAAATTACTTTTCAAGTATTCAATTGTAAAGGAAATTGTGAAACTAAAAATTATTCTAGTAATTCTTACTTCC